GTAAAATGCGTTTCTCGGAGTAGGCCTATAGCGCATTGCATTTTTTTCAGTTGTCCCAAAATCTTTTTCCTCTTAACTGGGTTGTTGATTCCTTTTATGTTATAAGTTACTATGTTCAGTGAAGTCATTCCCTATATTTTTCCAAGTGGTGCCCTGTTCACTCACTGCCCTTTGGTGACCCAAAACAAGGTAAATGTAAATACATCAGAAAACTATAATTCACCGCTTGTGTCAGGGAGAACATAACAGAAACAGAAAGAACAACAAAAACACCAAACAGAACTTCCAAAGGTCCAGTCAGCCACAGTACCTGAACAGTACCTATGTCTGACCCACATTAATAATGGGACAGAGAGGGGTGACCTGACCTCTCTCTGGCAAAAGGCACACAGTGGGCAATAATGACCAATAATACACTAACATGTATAAGAGGTCTCAGTGAGTGCAAATTACTCATGTAAACAAAACAAAATAAGATGCAGTCACCTGTCAGAATTTATATTCAAGTTATTATAAATTAGTGACAACTGAAAATGTTCTTAACACCTTAATAATACCTTCAGTTTATTCACCATCCGTATACCCAACATAAAATAAGCTAACGTGACTTTCCAAGTCAGGCTTGGGTATTTTGTGGTTTCTTAGATACCTTGATTAAGCTACTCCTGTCCCAATATGGCCTCCAGATCAGATGTCAACAACATTTCGCCTCTCTTCTTCTTCGTGCTGCTGTTCTCCCCCTCCATCAGTCTCTCTTCCATGCTCTCTTTCTCTCCACTGTGCACCTGTACGCCCAGTTGTTCCAGGGCCTCGGCGGTGTTCATCAGCGTAGTGAAGGTTTTTTTCTCCTGAGTCCATCTTCAATTTCAGCCGTGCAGGATATATGCATCTTGCCTGTATGCCTTTTTGTTTTAGCTGTTTAATGACAGCGTAGACTTTAGCTCGCTTCTTATGTAGCTCAGGAGAGTAGTCTTGATCAAAGAAGATCCTTTTGTCTTGAAATAACACCTTTCCCTGGCCCCATGCTTTCTGCAAAACGACATCTTTCGCTGCTGTGTCCAGGAACCTCACAATAATGCACCTGGGGGGAGCCACTGGGGCAAGAGATGCGCTCTTTCAATCTTAATGTCCAGGTCAGGGGCCAGCTGCAGCACTTTAGGAAACAGCTCTTTCACAAATGCAACCACATTTCCTCCTTCACTCCCTTCTGGTATTTGGAAAATACGTAGGTTGTTCCTCCTCAGTCTATTCTGGAGGTCCTCACACATGTTGTGAGTTGCGTGTCACGTTGCAGTAGGTATTGAAGCACCTGCTGCTGTCTTGCCTCTGTGTCTTCAACCTTACTCACTCGCCCCTCCAACTCACCAATTCTCTCCTGGTGGGCACCAAGTTGTCCTTTTATGTCTGCCACAGCTTGCTCCAGATGCTCAAGGGTCATTTTAGTTTGGCTGAGGCCCTGAGTGTTTTCTTCACAGAGTTTTTTCATCTGTTCTATCAGTATAGCCTCATGTGTGGATTTTTTGCTAGTAGCATCTAAGCTAGTGCTAACCGAGTCAGACGAGTCTCGCTGTTTGTCATCCGTTTCTTTCAAAGTCCCTTGTTTACTCGACGTTTTATGTCTCGAGGAAGAGCTCATATTGCTTACTTGTAGTATTCTGGGCTGAAGGTTTCAAATATCTGTAGTTGTCACTATTTTTAAAAGGTTTTCTGCTGCAATGCTGTTGCTCCTATCATGACATTACCAGAAGGCTATTCTTTCATTTCTTTAAACAAAAATGGAAAAACATTCTGTTTCTAGATCCTGAAATATGAGGATTACAATTGTTGGAGCTTTTCCTCTTTAGACAATTTACAAATAACTATTTATGTTTGTTGTGTAACACAAATATATAAACTAATCTATAGATCTTAACACCTATAGCTTTATAACGTAAAACTATAAGTAAGCAGTGCATTCATGCAGTGACTCAGCCAAAGTGGAAATTATTAACTGCTGAGACGAGCGACACTCCAAGTAACAAGCTGATCTGCTTTCCAGCTGCACACCGGGGCACACTCAGCTGCACTGTACAGTGCTGCTGGAGACAGACCAGCTTGGAGAGGAGGGAAAGTGTTGCAGTAAGGAAGCATTTTGTGTGTGAGTGTGTGTGTGTGTGTGTGTGTGCGTGCGCCTTTGTATTACTTAGATCATGAGGACTGAAAGCTGTTAACACACTCACACTGTGGGGACTCAGCCATCCTTGTGGGGACCAGAGGCTAGTCCCCACAAGGAAATCATTAAATTTTAGGGTGGCAACATGGTTTAGGTGTTAGGTTAAGTGTTGGGGTTAGGGTTAGGTATTGGGAAAGTAGTGGTTATGGTTAAGGTTAGGATAAGTCTACAGGAAATGAATGTACATCAATGTAAAGTCACCACAAGGAATGAAAACACAGCTGTGTGTGAGTGTGTGTGTGTGTGTGTGTACAGAGCTGAAACAGAAACACAGAGTGAGAAGAAAATGAGCGACAGCAAAGGAGAGAAACCTAAAAAAAGAAAAAACTGGAAACACGTCTGAGACAGAGGGAGAGAGAGGATGCTGCATCCATCTCCATTCCTTATTAAAAAGGGATGTTTTCTTGGCCCAGTGGAGGAGAGAGAAGAGGAGGAAGGCAAGAAGGATATGGAGAAAATGAGGAGAGAAGCAAAGGAGGGGGGTGAGGACAAAGGATGAAAGGAGTTTCAAGAACAAAAAGAAAGGTGCATTAGGGTTAACATGAAGAAGACGATGAGAACAGCAGAGGAAGAGAAAAAAAGCAAGCACAAAGGGTGTAATGAGGAGAATGCTGTCTGCAGATGCACACACACATGCACACAATGCAATCACTCAATTCCCTTTGGTGTGGACCTCTTGGCCATGATAATAATGGTGGGGTCAGTAATGTTAGAAAATGGAAAAGCAACTAACATTTCAAAGTTTAATTCGATGCAGAAAGTGGGCTGGAAGCCATCCTTGGGGGGGGTTCTGTTATGTTTGTATCTGTGCT